TACAGTATTGATTTATGTGATCTAAGTTATTTTTAAATCTTCTAATAATAATTTTTTTATTAGATAATGCTGAAGCATTGAATTATAACTTGTTTACAGAGTATAAAAGTCTACATAATGAACTTAAAGGATACAAAGAAAATGAAACAATTTTAAGTATTATAAGCAACTATGAAAATATAAAGAAATTGTATAAGATTGGTTTATAAATATTTTTGAGACTTAATCCGTTTATTATTATTTTCTATAATAATAATAAGCGATTACTTTCTAAGTCCTTAACTTGGACTTATAATGAAATAAATTTCATTTCTTAAATTGTGCTTTAAAATTTCTGTATCTGTGAATATTTTGTCACCGAATCTATATACTGGCTTGATAGTAATTAGAGTGGCCAACTAATTGTGAATCGTTAAATTGTAAGCAATAAATTGGAATATTTTTGACTCGCCCCAATTTAGAATATGATAGCAATGTAATACGTGAATTATTAAAATAGTTAAATATGTTATAGTTATAGTGGGTTGCTCTATAAGCCACAACAATCAGCGATTATTATTGTCTGAGCAAAGATATTTCAATACTCTCGACCTAATTAACGGCACACGAAAACTTATTATTCAATAATTTCTACATAACCAAATGCTAATAAACCTCTTAATGAAAATTGTCTTTCGTTTCTGCGAAAAACTTGAAAAATTAGAAAATACTATATTTTACGAGAACTCTTAAAATTCTCACAATTAACATTACATTTTCTAGAGTTCCACCTGCTAAACAACAATCTAATACCTATCCTCGAAATCAACAAAAGCATCGAAACTCTAACCTTTGATTATTGTTGTTTCAGTCATGGAGTCTGGAATAGTGTTAATATATTAACCAAGATCAAATAAATAAATTGATATTTTAGACCTAATCCCCAACGGAGAATTCTTGGAATTGTAGCTGTAGAAGAAAAATGTCAAAAAACTTGTGATCGCTAATCTGGCAGTTGGAAATCATATGGTTCGCAACATTTTTTGTCATGACTAAAGCTTTCATTCCGATTGGATAATTATTCATATCAATATGGGCAGATTTTTATAATTCAAATATAGGAAACGTCTAAAGCCGAGATAACTTAAATAAATTAATATTTTATTTTATTGAATTAACTTTAGGGTTAGGGACACCTTAAGTTAGGGTTGGTGTAGATCAGCTGATATCATTAAAGCTGATATTGTGAAGTCCGCAGGCTGATAAAATACGTTCGATATGCACTTCTGTTGCTAACAGCCATGATAGATAACAATTTGGCTCGCATTATGTTATTTCTGGTCAGAAGCTTTTTAATGTTTTATCCCAAAATTAGGAAAATTTTGGAGATAGGCCTACACTATGGTAAAATTGAAATCGAGAATCGTCTGTGCCAAATTAGTGCGCAGCAATATAGGATAACTTTCTCGTGATCGGCTAATCACATGAAATTGAATAATATATTATGATTGGCTATCTTTGCAACATTGCCAACTCTGCCTCTAGGTATGGGATTATTTTGCATAGTAACTATTTTTAATAAATTTATCTACCGCTGTAACCCACCTCTTCTCTATTTCACTTTTTTCCTTTTCTTTTTTATCTCTTTCTTTTCTTTTCTTTTCTGCAACTCCTACTTCTGTTTCCGTAATCTTCTTTCCGCTTCTTTTTGAATATCATATACCAAACTAGATTTTTGTTTAATTATGTTTGGGATTAATTTGTTATATATAAAATGTTGAAGTTGCATTATTCTAAATCTAATAATATAAAAACTATCGCAAATAAAGTATTGAAGCCAATGATTGACTAATAATGGATCAATTTTTTCCAATATTTCTAAAAGTCTTTTAATTTCTAAATATAATAACCTTAATCGTCCTTTTACAGCATCATTTAATATTTCTTTATGAATCATATTATCAAATTTAATCTTTAATACTTTTTGTTTCTCAGTGATTTCCTCTTCAATATACTTTCTTTCGGCGTCGTCTTTTTTTTTAAAATCTTGATTCCCTCTTCGTTACGCTTTTCTTTTTCGTTTGCTTTTTCATTTAAAATGTAGTTTTCTTTTTCATTTAAAATTTTATTAATGGCATTGTTTTTAACTTGAATTTGTTTATTTTTTTGTTCCTTTATGGTTGACATGACGGAGACAGATGAATTAGAAATATTTTTTTGTTCCTTTATGGTTAACATGACGGAGACAAATGAATTAGAAATATTATTTTCGTTTGTATCATTGGTTGACGTGGAAGAAGCAGATGATGAGGTTAACAAAGAGGCATGATTTTTATTTTCGTTGTACAAGTAGTAGCAAAAAGAAATGCTTGAATACAAATAATAGATAAACAAAATAAGGGTGAGAGAGCATAAGATTGCAAAGAAATCCATCTTGCGAATTTAATTTCTAAGCATGTTTTGTCGTAACTTAAATACTTTCATGGTGAATTCGAATCTGCACAGACTCTTCTTGTCGCATAATATAAAAACTTGTTTAATTCAAAAAAGAGAGGTCTTTACTTTTTATCAAGACCTGATTATTCGCAAATGTGCATTATCGCGCAGCATTCTGAGGCTTAGCACGCATTATTAGAACGCGTCTGTTCTATTATCTTACCAATCCTAATTGAGTTTACAAATTTGATTCAAATTATACAATAAAGTTCAGAACCGAATTTATTTTTTACATAATAAATTAGTTATATAATTAGTTACTTTAAAAATTAGCATCAATTTGATATTATTTAGAAAAATCAAATTCAATTAAAAAAATAATTTTCATCAATTAAATTTATAATTAATATCATTTGATTTTATATAAGTGTAGTTGTTCTAATTTTTATGAAATTATTAAAAGAATTACATCTAGTACGTTGGACAAAGTTTAGTATGCAGGTTTCGGTTTATTACGTAATAGTTATTACTCAATAATTTAATCACTTGATCTATATATATAGGGATATTTTTACTGCTTGCATCTTGAAGTTTTCGAATTCAAGACTTCAAGAAATCCACCACCTAATTTATCTAATTTTCGATTTACAAAGTAAAAATTTACAAATATTAACGACTTATGACTGCTTCCGACATTGTTACCTCACTACAAATTGACAATATTTCACATGACTTTTCAAAACTCTACTATTCTTGTATCAGATAGACAACCTTATTCTCTAATTTTTGTCAATTTAAAATCAATAAAATATCTGCCATACGAAAACA